CGCTGCTCTCCTGCCACCTTCCCTCGGCCACCCCTCTGTGCTGGGGGCTGGAGCTTGAATCCCTGGAGAAGGATTTCTCTGAACTCAGCAGCCTGCTAGAAGGAGGAGTCCTGAAGTCCAAGATAAGATAAATACAGCCTTGGATATATTTAAACAAACCCCCAAACCAACGATCTGTTCTTTTGTGATTAGTCTGCGTATGTGTGTGTGCTCCCCTTCCGTGAAGGCCATTGCCTTGGTTGTTTACAATAACTGTTGACCAAAATCATGAAAGGCCAAGTGGCTTCACCCACCTCTCGATGCCATCTTGTCCCCCTGGTGGCCTCAGTGTGGACCCCTTTGTCTTTTCACATCTCCCCACCAGCTTGTGAGAGAACAGGAGCTGTAAAACCCCATCGTTTTCGGGGCTGCTGTCAGGTAGTGTGCCTGTTGGCTGTCTTCTCCTCGCTGCCTGCCCTAGGAAAGGCTGCAGTGGCCGGAGGCAAGGCTCTGGGGCTTGAGATCTGTCCCTCCTGCCATTTGGCAGTGCCGTGTTTATAGGCAGTCGTGCCAGGTGTCTTCTTTGCTTAGGGGAGAAACATGTGCGTACACGTTGCTTGCTCTTCAAATCTCTTTCAAATTACACAATAAAACAGGCAGAAAATTAAATAAAATACCCCTTTGTGAAAGTGCAGGCGTGAGCCGCTCCTGGCCTAGGCAGGCTCCCTGGTCAAATCCACCAGCAATGCCCATTCTTCCTCCTTCTTGTCCTCCAGCATCAAAGCCTCAGCCTGAGGTCCCAGGTGTAGAAGAACATGGAGAGACTCCTCCCTTTGTTGTCCCCTTCCCCCTCCAGCCCCATCCAGCCAAGAATACATGCGGGAGAATCCGCATCTTCCTACCAAAGACAAGATTTTCCTTTTAAACCCAGGCATCAAAGGTGAGCAGGTTTCACCAGCTGTCTCCTTTAAATAGTGAAGTGCTGTTCAAATAAATATGGATCAGATGGCCTGCCAAGATCAAACGGTGATGTAGACCCCTGCCTCAGTCAGAAGACTGATTTTAATTCAACAGGGAGAAAGGCACCCTTGAAGTCATCAATACTTCTTTGCCAGTTACGCATGGATTTTTCTTACCTGCTTGACTAGTGGTCAGACACTGGAACAGGCTGCCCAGGGAGGTGGTTGAGTCACCATCCCTGAATGTGTTTGAGTCATTTAGATGCGGTGCTGGGGGATATGGTGTAGGAGAGAACTTTATAGAGCAGGGTTGATGGTTGGACTTGATGATCCCAAGGGTCTTTTCCAACCTGAATGATCTATGATTTTATGACTATTTCCACTGGTGGGATCAATGTCTCCAGCCGAGATCCTCCCTTGTTGAAAGAAGGACTGCTGGAAGTCCTGGGTTGGCAGCTGGACCTTCTGCTTCCTGCAGCTTCTCTGAGATGGGTCTTCTGCTGCCCAAAGTCTAGCATTTTTCTGTTAAGTCAGCCAGACCTACTGCTTGCTCCGAGTTCAATGCAGGTGTGCAGCAGCCACATTGATCCTTGATGCTCCAGGAAGGATGTCTGAGCCTTGCAGGGCTGCAGGTCCCAGTCTGCTATCCTGGAGTGGTGCGGGCACTTTGCCACTTACGTCCTTGGGCTCTTCCAACAGCCGTCCCAGCAGAGGTGTCTGAAGGAAGGAGGGTTAAAGCTGCACCTCCACAAACTGAACTGCCTCATGAGAGGTTTCTGCGAAAGCCCATAGCATGACGAACGCAGGAGGAGGCCAAGTGGTCCTCGTTCTTCGGTTGCCTTAACCCAGGGATCTTCTTCTGGCAACATTTGCCCAGTTCTAACAGTCCCAGCTGAGCAGGGCAGATGTGGTGAGATTTGTAGTTCTCTGCAGCAGAGGTGCTGACTGACTGTCACTTTGGCTCTTTGAGCCACAGTAAGTGGCTACCTTGATGGTCTCTTGCTGATGCTTCCTCCAGCTCAGCTCCCCCAGCTATCCCTGCCTTCTGGAACAGAGCAGGTTTCCTCTGACAGTACTTTCTTAGTCAGGTGACTAAAAAAAATACAGAAAAGAAGAAAAATGGTTACTTAGGCTACAGTAATTGTGGTATTCTAGACACCTTCTCCATAGAGGAACCACAAGAGATCTCTTGTCCTTCGTTCTGGAGGAGTCTTTGCTGGTGACAAACCTGAGAGAGGTTAAACTAGAGCATCCTGAGCTTAGTTTGCTCCATTACCACCCTGAGCAGCAGCAGCTCCTGGCTTCCCTGGGCTGTGCGTGTTCATCCTTCTTCTTCCCAGACCAGGATGCCAGCCTGTGTTTGAGCTTTCCCACCCTCAGACCACTCTCCCAGCTTAAGACATCAGCTCTAGCTCATGTGTTTCTCTCCCATGGCCCTGCTCCCTTCCACCAGCCGCAGCAAACCTTGCCAGATCCTCCATGGCAGCATCTGTTCAGGTCCATGAACAGGTCCTGTCCATGTGGGTACATACTCACCTGGGGTCTGTGTGGACAGCACTTAAAGAATTACAGTTTCCTTAAGGTAAGTAAGCACTTTTCACTTTGTTTCCTTAAAGAAATATTTAAAACGCAGGATGACTCTGTAATACTATTAAATCCTTAATCAGTTCCACCATTATTATGACCCTTCCTCTGGTTTAAAACTGATTAATTTCAGGAGTCGAAGCTGGAGAAGCTGCAGTGACAGATACTGTGTTCTCAATACTGTGTTCTCATTATTACTCTCTTATTTTGAAAGAAAATGATCATGAAACTGGTGTTTTCCTTTACTGTGCTTGGACACTCTTAAGAAAAGTGAGAAATGCAAGTTAGGAGGAGGATTATTGGTTGTACTCATGTAATGTCTTCATTATCTTTTTAGTTTAGATATCAAATAATGCTTTAAAACATTTTCAACTGCAGCCATTTTTTCAAATTTTTGAAGATTAACTGTGAGTTTTGAAAAACCCATGTTATTCTTTTTAAATGTTAAAAGCAGGAATAAATTATTTAGCTCAGGGTTTGGGGGCTCTTTTTTTCCCCCCAAATATTGTCAAACCTGGAATTATCAGGGTGTCTGGAGAGTTAGCAAATTAGAGCCGTACAAATACTGGAAGATCTGATAAATTCGAAAAATTGCAATCTGACAAATTACAAAAGTAGTATTTTGTTACTAGTTCCCGAGTGGGTTTTGGGCACATGCGTGTGACAATGCTTTTTGCAGTGTGATACTTCTCAACTTCCCGTGGGGAATAATTTGAGCTTCATTACTCATTAAAAATTGTTCCTAACAAGAGAGAAAGAAAAGAGAAGAAAACTCAATGACACCGTAACTATAAGCCGTTACGAGAAGAATGGTACATCTTTGCCCAGTATTCTGCCTCAGAGATTTTCTAGCACCAAAAATTTCTGAGAAAGGTGGTCTAAAAATGAGCATTATCATGGACAATTTCTGTATGGTGTGCATAAGAAAAAAATCTTTTATCCTGTAGCTGATTGTCACAAAGCGTAGGAATTTTGTTTTGTTTTCTGTTTCACTTAATCCCATCAAATGTAGCAGATGTTTTCATTATTCATACAAATTTATCTCCTTTTGCATGTATGTTGTTAAGCTCTTTGCTTAATGATGGCCTTGTAGGAGTTGAGATCCCAGCTAATTGTAGGTGTAGCATTGCCCTCATCTGGATCCACTGCGCTGTGGTATTGCTGTATCCATAAGGTAATGAGTAAGAGTACCCGACCTTCCTCCTTCATTCTCTTCGACGTTTGAACTACATCTGGTGTTTATTTTGCTTATTTACTTGTTCTAGTTGCTTTAGTTTCCCCTGATACAATAGCATTTCCATGCCTCTAGTGACCCATCTCTGAGGGCACGTGCTTTTCGCTAGAGCGACTTTAGATGTGTGGTGAGAATTGAGTACCATAAGCATTTAAGAGGAAATGTTGAATACTGTTGAGAGGGCACTATGATATTTTAGATAGAAGTCGGTTTGGTTTTTTTTCGAACAGGAAATAGTCTGCAGATACCTGTAGTGGAGGGACTAAGTCCATGAGGACTTAAGTCTGTTACATTTATGTGGCTGTATAAAATATTGTCCGCTTATTGTGAGCTACGTTAGTAGAAACATCTGGATAACGAAGCTCTTCCTTTCTGCTGCGATGGTGGAAGATGTTGAGGCAGGCATGGCAGGGTAACTAATTTATAAGGGTCTTGCTGGGAGGGGGAGTTGGGGAGTCATCAGCATTTTCTCCCTGAAACAAGGTGATTTGGGGACCTCCGAAAGAGGAGGTGAGGGTTGATGTCTTCCTCATCAGTTGAAAGCAAAGCTTTCACTTTTTCTTTGGGTACTGAAGTTGTTCCTACCTCCTGCCTGTGCGTACAAAACCTCAAGCAAGTGTTCCTCAGCCATCAGAGAGCTTCAGCTGGTCGGTCTGAAGCACTTCTGCCTCCAGTAGATGTTCACAGACGCCGGTTCGCTCCCGTTCGTGCTTACCAACAGAGGAGGCTGGGGCTGTGCCAAGCTGGACCCGGTACCCAAAAGGAAGAATACTTGACTGGAGTGAATGGGAAAGTTGAGAAGGGAAAATGGTTTGGGGAGGGGTGGGGGGCGGGCAGGAGGGGGAAATATTACATTACGCCGGGGGCTCCTGCCAAATACCTTCAAGTCTGCTCTGCCACGTGGGGAGTGTGCACCACGTAGGGCTTGGACCTTACATACCCAGCAGAGTTGGAGGGGGATAAACCTCCCCGTTACAGCGAGGCGTCGAACAGGTTTTCCGCGTATTCCTCTGTCATCCAGGAGGCCTTCTAGCAAGAAAAGGAAGACGTGCTGCAAATTTACAAAAGGATGGTGGCAAGGGAAAAGGGAGATATAAGGGAAATTCCAGAAAGGCCCTCTGGATTTGCTCAGGCACACCTAGACTTGCCCTCCATTGGGATCTATCTGTAGCATGTACATCATTAACAGGCTTTATTATTTTTTTTTTAAATTAATTTTATTTTCCTTTGCAGGTCACCTTTTAAGCTGCTATTTCCTGTATAATTAAGCAGAATGAAGGCATTAGGTTCTAGTAAAGTTGGGCCTAATCCAGAAATCTTCTCTTATTCAGTCCTTTCTGAGTAAGAAACTCAAGTCTGGGCCCAGCATTTTATGTGTTTCGCTGTTATTTCTAATTTATTTGTGGTCTGTGGATTTTTTTTTGGTTTGTTTTGTTTTTAACTTTATGGAAAACTCCTTTGCTTTTGTCTAATTTTATCTCTTTATATGTTACTGTCCAGCATAGCGTTAGGTGAAACGATGTAAGTATACTGCAAATTGAAGTGCATAATTGCTACTGATCATGCAAGAACGATTGATTCCTACAGTTTATAATTAACAGTACATAATGTTCTGTGCATGGGTTGGATCTATCCCTTTTAACTTTTCCTTTCCGATTCTTTCCAACCCCTGGTCTTGCCGCATCCCAGCCTTTCTGAATACACTCGTTTCGCTGGAGTCTAGTCCGTTCTTCCTTTTGTTTTTCAGACCAGTAAAAATGGGAAGTACTGGATTCTGGTTTCCTCCAAGAAGAGTCAGCGGAACTGGTTAAGACCAAAATCTGAGGACTTTAGTGGGCAAACATCAGGTGTGCATTGAACAAAGGCTGCTTTAATCCTACTTTTAAGTATATGCTTCTTTAAAAATAGTATTATATATGAGCTTTTGTGTAATGTGTTTGTTATATTTGATACTGCATATAATCATTCATCCTGCAGTTGTGAAAGCACCAGTAAGAATGAGGATTTTAAGTGATAATATGTTGAGACACAAACAGGCAATATTACTCATAAAATTCTTTCAGCTGGTCTTTGGAAAGTGTAATATTTGAGGATCAGTGGTTTTTTAAGTTTTATCTCCATTGCTCAGTCTATATATCCACAAGAAAAAAAAAAAAGAAAGTGGTTATTTGCTATTCAGGGATCAATACTGAAGTTCTTAATTGCCTCATCTGTTGAGAAATGGTACTGAGATAATAATCCGTAGATGTTTTCTAATAAAACACTGTCGTTCTCAAACATTGGATCCACACTATATTTGTTCTGATGATGCATTTTTAAGGACACTTAAAACACAGTTCAAAGTCAGCTTAATTAGTTTTGATCATAGAGGAACAAAACCAAAATTCTTCACCCATGTGAATGTTCTGGGTTACTCTGGTACGGCAACTAGGTTACCTGAAGTTTTGGAGAAGGTAACACTAGTAGTGTTATATTGGCCTGAATATAGGATGGCCTTCAGCCTGGTGTGGGACCTTCGCTTTTAGAAAAAGAGGGAGAAGTTGTCAGAGTTGTTAATTTAGCAGTAAAGCCTGATATGCTGTTCCACAACAAACACTGCTTTTGGCCTCGCATCAGACTCTGCATATCACCCTTCTGCATGGGCTTAATATCCTGCATCTCCCCAGCTTGATGCACGTTCAGCTCCTCACTGCCTGCCCCCAGCGTTACCAGCTCACCCCTGTCCTCGCATCCTTAGATATTCCCAGACCCTGTGCTCCCTGCACCTCCTTGGCCCCACAGACCCATCCTGGTTCTGCCTGTTGTCCCTCCCTGTGGCCGCTCATCCTCCCTCCCTGTATCCTGCTGGCTGTGCCTGCTTCCCTCATTGCTAGCTGGCCACGGAGGGCCACTTGCTGCCTATCTCTGGACCCAGCTTGGCCAAATTAACCACGTTCCCCTGCAGCAGACCTTGGAGGCAGTTCCCTTGCCCTTCAACGCTAACGCTGGCTGCCCCATCTCAGGCTGGGTGGGGGTTTGGCAAGGAGGCAAAATGCGTAGTAGCCCCTTCTTACGCCGGTGAGCCTGTAGGTGCAGTAGCCACGCAGCCAGGGCCACAGCTGCCACGCTGTTGGCTCTGTGGCAGGTCTCATCTCGGTGCCTATGGGGTATAGATAATACCCAGTGTAAGTGTAGATTATTTGTTTTCTCACCTCTAAACTTCGTTTGTCAGGAGAGGTTAAGCCAAAACAAGATTTCATTCTATATTCAGGCCAATGTGCGTAGAAGACCAGTGTGTTCACTTACAGGAAGGGGAAATGAATTTTATTGCCAGATTCTCATTAAGGCGTATATCGAAAAAAATCTTTCAATCCACAAATATATCAAAAATTTGATGTGAATCAGACCCTCCTTTTGAATTACATTGGTGGCTTCATTGAAGTCTTTGGAACTGGTCTTCATTTACTTTTATTGCAGAAAATTATTGCTTCCAAGTCTCCACAAACAGCTGTTTCATTTTTTTCACTTACGAACTAGATAGTTCATTATGAGAAAGAAAATAAAATTAAGCTGATACTTTGAAGACCTGTGCGTGTTCCCACTCATGGAACTGATGTCTCCAGGCTTCGTCCCAGGAGTGGGAATGAGTCCGAGACAAATCTGAAATCATAAGAGTCCTTAAGGAAACACCTTTTCTGTCACCAGGTATCTTTAAGGAGGTTAGCGGTTCCATATAAAATTTGGGGGATTAAAGGTGGTCTCACAAAACTTCTTCCTTAAAGAAAGTAGCATAGTTTAACCTGCCATTCAAGGACTTGAGGGTTGAAAGTCAGCAGATTTCCATCTTGGTGTTCCAGTACTTCTCTCCTCTTGTAAAGACAAGGCAAAAGTTATGGGGAAGAGGGAGGAAGAGGCATAGAAAAAAGACGTACTCTGTGTACACATTGTCAGTCTGAAGATAAAAATATAAAACGTAAAATGCAGACATTAAAGAGGTGCATCCCCTTTTCCCCGTCCTTGCCCCTCCACCCTCCTGTCCTGCCTTCATTGAGGAAAAGCACAGACTCTCCTTCCCCCTCGCTTTCTCCCGGGGCCACACTGGGACTTTTGGAAGGACCTTTGAGTTTTGTCCCCATTGCACCTGGGCGCTGCTCTCCATCAGAGAGAGGGGGGGTTGGCTCCCTCCATCTCTGCTGAGCCTGGGTGGGGGCGAGAGGACAGCTGAGGCCGGGCCCAGGCCGCCTCCGAGCCATCCCACCGCCCCTTCCCTGACTCCCGTTTTGTTGGTCGGGGAGGCAGCCTTAGGTTGGAGCAGCTGCGGCCTGGTGCTCCCGCTGCCCGGCTCCACCTGTCCCCCAGCAGCTGCTGCCTTCCCCTGGCCCTGCTGCTGGGGGCTGTGGGGGCGGCCAGCCCGGCCTCCATGCCGCCCGGCCACCATGCCACCGGGCCCAGCCGCCCCTCGCCCAGCTGCCCCAGCAGAGGCCACGGTGGATGGCGGCAGCTGCGAGCCTGGGCCGGGGAGGGGGGAAGAATCACTGCTTTTGAGAGAAAAGCCAAATCTGGGGGCTTTCCGGCCCTGCCAAACACCAGTGTTGAGTGCCATCATCCCACCGTCCTCCTCCTCCTCGCCCCCGTTGCCACAGACCTCCCGCTCGGCCCTTCCCGCAAGGGGCAGCGCTGGCTTTTGGTACCTGTAGTAGCAATTGTGCGCTGATGGCGGGGGCAAAAAAAAAGCAAGCTGTCTGCTTCCCCTTTGACAAAGGGAGGGCTGTGGAGTGCCCCCCTGTTAATGGCAGGCGCCCAGTTGCTGCTACACGTTACCAGATGATGAATTTAAAAGCTGTTTGCCCACGAGCCGGGCACGAGCGTCACGCACCTCCTTCAGCCTCGGGTGTAGCACAGGGTTTGGGAGACCAAGAGCCTCCTCCATCCTGAGCCAACACTGGCCAACACTGAACAGCCCCTAAAATGCCAAACACTGAACAGCCCCTACGTCTCGTCAGGATAGCGTGAGGAGGGGCGGGGGTCTCCAGGGCTGGGCTGATAAAACCCTAATCTATCTAATCTATCCCCTAATCCCTGGGATTCCCGTTGTTAATACGCCAGGTCTCGGTTAGCAGAGGGTGTAGTTTACAGGAGAGTTTCACCTGGCGTTAGCAATCACTGCCAGGGAGTATGTGTTGCCAGAGCAGATGCCAGCCAGGAGGAGGTGCACCCCCAGAACACGAGCTTTGCCCCCTCAGGTCCTCCCTGTTGGGGGTACTGCCCCTTTTCCCCGCAGGCTTTCAAACATTTCCAGGCTTTCCAGGTTTATTCACTTGGGGGACTGCGTGTGTACATGCGTGTGTGTGTGTGTGTGGGTGTCCGTGCAGTCACCCCAGGCCTGGCTTTAGTTCCTTTGAGTCATGAGGCGGTCAGGGTGGGCAACCCCTTTGCCCCACGTCTCCCCTAATCTGACAAAACCTTACCATAATCTGACAGAAACCTCCGTCGGGGCCCGAGGGGAAGGTTGCCAGGTGTGGTTTCAAGGGCATTATGTGGATCTGTTCATCCTGAGCAATGCGTTTTTTTAAAGAGTTGCAGCAAAAATAGTGTAAAGAAACCTGCAGGTATTACATTAGACCAGCTGAACCTAATTTTATTTTTAAGTTTTATTCAGAAGCATCACATAGCAAGTAAACTTCAAAATCTAAGTTTAGTTACAAACTAGTTGTTTCTTATTTTTTTTTTCCAGTCCCCTTTTGCTTTCTTTTACGACCACATGAAACTTGAGAAGCCATCTAAAGCTAAATCATTTAGTGGAGTTGGGCAATTCCCAAGTGTCCAACAAGAAGGCCTGGTTTAGGCTGCGATGGCCACTGTCATTCCTGGTGATTTGTCAGAAGTAAGAGATACCCAGAAAGTCCCTTCAGGGAAACGTAAGCGTGGTGAAACCAAACCAAGAAAAAACTTTCCTTGCCAACTGTGTGACAAGGCCTTTAACAGTGTTGAGAAATTAAAGGTTCACTCATACTCTCACACAGGAGAGAGGCCCTACAAGTGCACACAACAAGACTGCACCAAGGCCTTTGTTTCTAAGTACAAATTACTAAGGTATTAAACTCTATTTATCTTTCAGATTATATTATCTATTTTATGTTGGCCGTGTTAAGCCGTGTAAAAGTATATATTTGTGTACGCCTTCAGCTCATTGCAGAGAGGATGTGTTAATTAAAGTAGCCATTGGATTGTTTCTAGAATTCTAAATTACCTAAGTTTGCAAGCTAATGTCTTTGATTTTGTTTCTTAATTTGTTTTCTGCTTTTGTTTTCTGTTTGTTTGTTTGTTGTTTTGTTTTGTTTTTTTAAATGAGCGTAGAATTTTCATTTGTATAAGGAATTGTCACGAGAAAAAGAGTATGGACTGAAAATTCTTTGGCTATGGACTTTTACACGAGTACTTTCATACTTGCCCTTATACCCCTGTTACAGTAGCTAAAACCCACCAAAACTAAAGTGTCGATTTAAGAGAAATGGCTCGCGTTTTGCTATATTTAAATTTGTCGAACTGTCTTTGTAGTGTCATGCTTTCAGTTAAAAGGTTCTGTTGCAAAGCAGCCCTTAGTGTAGTATTTAGCTGCCATTAAAAAATGAGCACGTGTGTTTTTTGATCAAAATAATTACTTACAGAATATATCTGTGTTTAAAGGCATATGGCTACTCATTCTCCTGAGAAAACCCACAAGTGTAATTATTGTGAGAAAATGTTTCACCGAAAAGATCACCTAAAGAATCACCTACATACACACAATCCCAACAAAGAGGCCTTTAAGTGTGAAGAATGTGGAAAGAACTACAATACCAAGCTTGGGTTCAAACGTCACCTGGCTTTGCATGCTGCAACAAGCGGTGACCTCACCTGTAAGGTATGTTTGCAGACTTTTGAAAGCACCGGAGTGCTGCTGGAGCACCTAAAAACTCATGCAGGCAAGTCATCGGGTGGAGTGAAGGAGAAAAAGCACCAGTGTGAACACTGTGATCGTCGGTTCTACACCCGAAAGGATGTCCGTAGACACATGGTAGTGCACACTGGAAGAAAGGACTTCCTCTGTCAGTACTGTGCACAGAGATTTGGGCGGAAGGATCACCTCACGCGCCACATGAAGAAAAGTCACAACCAAGAACTTTTGAAGGTCAAAACAGAGCCAATGGACCTTCTAGATCCCTTTACCTGCAATGTTTCTGTGCCTATTAAGGATGAGCTGCTTCCAGTGATGTCTTTACCTTCCAGTGAACTGACATCAAAGCCATTTACAAACACTTTGCAATTAAATCTCTACAACACTCAGATTCAGTCCATGCAGAGTTCTGCATCTGCACACCAAATGGTTGCCACATCGTTGCCATTGGGAATGCCTTGTCCAATAGATATGGAGTCTGTCCACCCTTCTCACCAGCTATCGTTGAAATATCCGCTCGGTACTACCTCATACGCAATTTCTATGCCTGAAAAAGAACAGCCATTGAAAGGAGAAATCGAAAGTTACTTAATGGAGTTGCAAAGTGGTATGCCTTCTTCATCCCAGGATTCTCAAGCATCTTCATCGAAACTAGGGCTGGATCCACAAGTAGGGACACTAGATGATGGGTCTGGGGAGGTTTCCCTTTCCAAGGGCTCCGTTCCTATTAGCGAACCTCTAAACACCCCATCGTTGGACTTTTCTCAGCTGTTCAACTTCATACCTGTAAACGGCCCTCCTTATAATCCTTCTGTTTCAGTGGGAAACCTCGGAATGAGTTACACGCAAGAGGAGGCACATTCTTCTATGACTCAGCTTCCACCACACGCCCAGGATCCACAAGATCCTAGCAATAGTATAGGTCTTGGGTCTCTGCACTCGTTGTCAGCAGCTTTCACAAGCAGTCTAAGCACAACCACCACCCTCCCGCGATTTCATCAAGCTTTCCAATAGGATGTACAAAGCTGGCTCGTTACTGTCTACTTGTAGAAATGCCTTAGGTGACCATTTTTAACTTAGTGCCTACTATAAGACATTATAAATTCTCTGCTTTTGTACAGTACCAATCTCATGAAGCCAGTAAGAAATTTAAATTAACTTTTTAAAAATGTTTTGAAAGTGTTTATTCTCAGCTGTGTTTACTTTGTTGTGTTTTGGGTTTTTTTGTTTTTTGTTTTTTTGTTTTTTTTTTTTTTAAAAAAAGTCTCATTGTATTGTTTTCATTTTCACTGCCAATTGACACATTTAAAATGTTGGGTAGAAAGTCATCCCAAGCAAACTCTCAACACTCATCCCTTTTTAAAAACTTTTTCAACCGTACCAGCTATTCCATTTTATTGATGTCAGTGGTAGACTTACCACTTTTACCTTTTAATATATTTTACTATTTACAGTTAAAATATGTATCACAAAGATTCCTGAAGATCTAGGAAAAAAATGTCAGTTTCCAAACAAATCCTCTTCCCAAATGGTGGTGCATCTGACCTGTTCTATAACGACAAATCTAAATTTTTTTTAAATAAATATAGAATTCAGATTTTTCTGAAAACTTGTGTGTGTATATATAAAAACCCATATATATACACATGTACATATATATAGCATTTTGACTTGTATTGAAGTCATTATAAAAGGTGTTACGAATTTTGCCATTTTCTGGCTTAAATTTTTGTGGCCTGTTATGGATAATGGAAGAAAAAAATTTAGTTTAATTCTCTAAAATCATGGCTGAACAGAATTTCAACAGAGAATCTCTGCTTGCCTAAATGACAAATGTTTCAAGTTGAATTTGGAACTGTGTTGTTGTGCTTTCATGACTCTGGTAGAGGGAAACAGGCGAAATTAATGGCTGATCTTGAAATATAAAAGTGTTGTAATGTAGTAACGCAGAATATTTTGTCGCAGTTTTTGTTTTGATTCTTAACTTGCTGTTTTTTCTCTTTAGTAGCATAGAAAGAGTACTGCATAGGAATCTTCCGATAGTGTATTCACATTTGTAGGCATCGGTCTTCTCCCTCCCAGCTACCACCGCCAAAGGGTGGATCAAGTCCAGCCAGAAAGTGTGTTATCTATTTTCAGTTCAAAACTAGTGTGCAGTCAGAGAGTGAATGTAAATTTGCAAATACCAGGTTTTTTTGTTGATTTTTTGTTTTCTTTTTGGTTTGTTTTTTTTTGTTTTTTTTTTTTTATTGGAATGATCTTTTCAGTTGTGTTACACGGTGTGTTATGTCCTCCTAAGCAACAAGTTAGATGTTAATCATACTTTCTACACCTGGGTACTTGGTTAGGGACTTTTTGCCCATCGCCAAGATTTAAAGACAGGACTCTTAGGAGTGAAGTAAAAGCATATTGCTTACACCACTTTTACCTAATGCAATATATTCTATTCCCCGACCCCTGATAACCAAAAGAGGAAAAAAAAAACCCCAACAAACTAACCCTGTGATGCATGAAAGCAAACTAGATTTGCTGTGATTCAACAATAACGTTCTTTTCCTTGTCATTTTTGTACAAGGAATTAAAAATAGAAATCAAGTACTTTAGTATCTCTCAAACAATAATGAGGATTCTTCTAAGGTTTTAAGTGGTTAAACTAAATATACTTCACAGAAACAAAAGTTGCTCCCATTTAAGGAGCTCATGCTCCGGATGTTTTATCAGTAGCTCCTACTTTTTTTTTTTTTAATTCTAGGAGCAATATGCAGGTGTAGTTTTACTATTTTATACATATGTGTATTTAAATTTTATTACTGAAAGATAACATTTTTATAAATGTGTTTGTGTTCCAAAGGCATTAAAATAAGGATGTATTAATAAGGAAAATACCTTTTGAAATTCTGAAAACTACTCCTACATTTTTGGTTTAGGAGCACGTTATCTCAAAGTGGGCTTTTAGCTCTGCTTCATGACTGCTTCCTCTGGTTTCTGTGAAACAGATTGCTTGCTTACTTACATCTTCAGTTGAATGATTTGTTCAATATTGCTTTTTTTTTTTTTTCTCTTCACCTTTCTAAAGGAAAGAAAAACACAGACGAACAGAGCACAAGGTGAACGCCACCGAATGTAACTCTAGGTTAAACCAGCAACCATAAGGCATCTAGGAAGAACTCGGGTTTATTCTCAGTCCTTTAGGTCAATGTGAGATGAAGATAAACAGACTTAGTTCCTCCAGCAGGTTATGTCCCGCCTGGAGCTGAGCATCCCCAACTCCCTCTGCAGGGGAGGAGAATGGAGATGGCTCAGTCTCCCAGCAGCGTGGCCAGGCACACAAATTCCCAATCCGTAGCCACTGTTTATCAGTCTCATTTACCGATTAGACCTCATTTTTAAAAAAAAAAAACAAACACAAAAAAACCCCCACCCAACAACCAGAACCCAACCGACACTTGGCCAACAGCCGTTTCTCAGCGCGTAGCCAGGATCCTTTAACTCCTTTGTTCGTGCCTTAGCTTCCCCAACAGGGATTGACATTTCACTTTGGAGTCAAGACGTACATTTCACGTGAGAAAAAACAGGGACCTCAAGACAAGATATTGAACCTCATTCAGGCAGGGTGTCCGCGCCGCGGGTGGCTCGCACCCCGCGCGTTTGCCGCCGAGCTGGGGCTGTGCGGGGAAGGTGGAAGCAGACTGACACCATAAGCAATACTTAAATCCCCACCGGAGCGCTCCTGAATATTGAATATTCAGGCAGAATCAACATTGGCCACTACTAAACCGTCAGTTTTTTAAACCCTGTTTTCTCCATTTTTCAGATGGATTCTCGGCGGGAGGGGGGGAGGGCTGGCTTGATCGTGCACCACTCTTTGTGCAACTTCTAAACTTCTAGTAAGGTTTGTTTTGTTTTGGTTTGTTTTTTTTTTTTTTTTAAATATATATATTTTTGTGTACTTGTTGCTTGTGCTTTATTTAGTAGTAAATTGTGGAATAGAGGAATTTATTGTTAATTTGGCAGTAGCGGTTTTTAAAAACCATATACTGACTGAAACATGAGCCAGAGCTGATTGCTTTATTAAGCTAATAATGAATGTTAAGAGTACATATTTTCAGGATCATTTGCCTAGTGAGCTAAACATGTATTATAGGCCAATATTTTTTAAAATAAAGCTTGGTCAACCTCTATGTTACACATATTACAAGATATAGCACTTTCAAAAAGAAAACCTAAACCTTTTAAGAAAATTTCTTACAGGTTATGCTTTTTATTATAAAACCTTTTATTATAATTTGTTTCAAGTGCCATTAGATTACATATATGTAGGCCTTTGGTATAATGCTTTGTGTACAAAATGGTAGACATTGTAATTTTAAACAGGTACATTTTTACAGTGTTTTCTTATCAATTTGCTATATTGCACAGAACCAGTGTGTCTTTCTTAAGGGTTTTACAATGGTTTTTACTAGGTTTACATGTTTCAAACTACACTGTCTTCTACTGCCATTTTGAATACCAGTCAAAAAAAAAAAAAAAAAAAAGAGAGAGAATTAGGAGTTTGTCCTCGCCAATTGCAAACTGTGTCCTCTGGAGTTCTGGATGGTAAACTATGGCAAATATGTTTAACATGCAGTATTTGATACAGATTTATTTTGTTTTTTAAGTCATATCCTCTCATCGCTATGCTGCTGTCTGAAGTTAACTTAGGGCCTGATCCTGCATCCGTAAAGGTCGAGGGGAGCAGGACCGCATCCTTCGTTATGTCTGTCTCATACACTGGTTTAGCAGCTCATCCCGTCTTCTTCTCAGTCTATAGATAAGCCTCTGAAGTCAATGTCCTCACCCGGTATGTAGTGAACCCTATAGGCTTAGCTGCCCCGTCCTGCATCCTCCCAGTGCACAACTAAAACCACGGCCTCCTTGGCGTCTCCCTCAACCTACAAAGAACGCCAAGGGGGAGTTCAAAATGTGTTTGGGTAGTCCCAAAGCTTTTTATGCAATAAGGGTGTCTTACTTTTGTTGGAAGGCAGTGTCTTTTGATAACAGTTATCTAGCCCTGGAAGTGACACAGAACTATTGCTAATCATATGTAAACACTTTTTCAGTATAAGCTTCAGTGGTACAGTTGAACCAGAGTGAATGTTTATCTCCTCAGAAACACTCCTGCAATATTGTTATATTGGATCATGCTGCTAATGTAACTTGGGATACAACTCCTCTCATGGTGCTACAAACCTCCCTGTCTCATTCAGATGTATTTTTACCCATAGAAAAGAATTAAAAAAAAAAAAAAAAAAAAAAAAAGGACTATACTAGACCTATAGTTGTATGATATATTTTTATACTGTGACTTAATTTGTCATTAATGAACTTTGTGCAACACCACAATGTATTCATATGCACTTGCAAAAGTAAAATTTTGGACATGCAAATTTAAAACGCTGACAAGCCCAGCTCTTGTTCATAAAAATAGGTGACTGCTAGTTAAAATTAAATGTGGGCTTTTTATATGGTGTGGAGTGAAGAACATACTATATGTTACCAAAAGCCTTTGAATTTAGACAAAAACTGGGAAAAGTTTATTGGGGAATGATGACACACCCAAACCTGACTCGGATTGCTGAAATTATATTTTTAGCTAGTGGAAAAATTGTTTGGACTTGTATGCTAAAATGTTTTTATGGTAAAAGTTTTGAGTCAAAAATAGAGGAAAAAAAAAAACAAAAACAGAACACAGAAAACCCTGCATTCCAGACTGAATTTGTATATGTTTCTTGCATTTAAAATTTGCTATCCTGTGATATGGGAAATTGAGTTGCTTATCATGTATATGTACTTTAAAATGTATTCACAAACTACTGTTGTATTTGTATAAAATATAGACAAAAAGATTGCATATATATTTTTGTGTATAAGCTCTGTAAAATAGCAATCACATTATGAAGCTGCAGCAGAACTTCATTTTAAACATTCACATCCAAAGAAACAGACTATTTATTGTCCACATACCCTGATTATAAAATATACCTTGCTGCTATTAAACAATAGTGCTGCAGCTTCTTGTGGCCTACAGTGTTATGTTTGCTGTACAAAAATATGTGAACTCCACAAAATATATCAATAAAATTACAGAATGGTTTTAGTTAATGAATAACTCACGCCTGGCATTTCAATAGATGACCTTGATCTGCATGTTTGGGGTTAATTACAGAGCGCATCTGGTTTTGCTGGCTGTAGCTCTTCTGAGTTTGCAAAGGTGTAACTGTCCTGCTAATTTATGACCAGTAAAATGTCAGTTTTTCAGAAAAAAAAAAAAATCTTAAAGCAAAAGTATCACCTGCGTTTCATGATTTCACCAAGGAACAAATTGGATGATGCTACTGTGTGTGTGACGAGACAGATGCGAGCAGAAGCAGCGGTTGGGTTTGCCATCAAATTGGGATTTGAAGTGCTGTGAGACACTTGGAAGGTGAGTCTGGGGTTTCCGTGGTGGGACCGCTGGTTTGGGAGACGCGGGGGAGAGACTCTCCCGTCTTTTCAGATGAAGGCAAGTCATTTACATCGATTGCATTAAAGAGTTTGCAGGATAACCTGGAAGGGTGCGGGGTTTGTCTCTCTGAAATATTTCCAGGAGAAACTCCATTGCTTTGATCCTGTAGATCTCCCGTCCGCCTGTGACCCTGCTGAAGAAGCCTGATGGTGATGCCCGGGGGGAAGAGGTGCAGCACAGCCGGACGGGCGGCCAGCCCACAGCCACAGAAGGTTGTTCCCTAGCACAGACTGTCTACTGGCATTGCACTTTTTGTTGTGTTCTCCTGCTTTTGGGTTCCTCTCTTTTCCAAGCCTTGACTTTTCAGATTTCTTGCTGTAGCTGGGTCTGAGAGAAATGGTTGTTGCAGTGAGTTGTTGGCTTTCACCTTCTCCATATGCAGGTATTTTTCCGTTCTTGAGATCCCTACCCCTTTCCTCTGAGCTGACGTCGCTTCTGTGTCACCGGTTTCTAACTTGCTTGAGTGGGTTGGTCTTGTTACATCGAGAGTCAAAAGCTCTAGGGATATCTGCTTTGTGATTTGGAACACTCTGCAAAACCATTTATTCTCCTCCCTGCGCCCCAACCCTCCCCTGAGAGAAGACCACCCCATGGTGTCACTGTCACAGCTGGTCTCACCCATCTTTACTGAATGAACATAGAATCATAGAATGGTCCAGGCCGGAAGGGACCTTCAAAGGTCCTCTAGTCCGAATCCCCCGCAGTCAGCAGGGACACCCCCAACTAGACCAGGTTGCTCAGGGCCTCGTCGAGCCTCACCTTGAGTATCTCCAGGGAAGGGGCCTCAATCACCTCCCTGGGCAACCTGTTCCAACATGTCCTCCTTGCAAACAGACACCTTCTAGAAACTCCATCAGGTCCTGGAGTAAGTGGAATGTGGTTGCATGGATGGCGTCTGTTATATGCAGAGATCTCTTGGTGTAGTCCCTCCAGAGCTTTTCCTTGTTCAATTCAGAGCCACGAGCATCATCCCTTCTCTCTCTCCTGTAACCGCCCCTTTCCAAAACCTGCCTAAGAAAGTACAGAAAAGTAGTCCTTTGGTATCTTCTGCACCTGGTCTCACTGTCCTCCAGGAGTGGAAGAGAAAGACTATTCCAATTTCTCCTTTCTCTCTCCTTTTCCTTCCCATGCATAAGCATGCCCTTGGATAAAGGGTGGTGTTTTTTGACAGAGAAACCCAAAACTGCCCCGGGGCTGCTGCTGGACTAGCAAGAACTGAGCAGCTCCATGCTGTTGGCTTCCCCGCTTTGCAAATCAAAACCTTGTATTAAATCAGATCAAAATTTTAAGTTGCCCAAGCGGCAGCGGCTGTGGTTGGCACGGCGGGGGTTGGCCACCGCGAGCAGGCAACAACCGGGCAGCAAGATAAAAGCTCTGGTACAAGGTAGAGCCTGTGCTTGAAAGTTCGAGGAGTGTATTGGAGGATGAACTGCTGCTTTTTGTGATGGGCCGGGGCATTTAGCACACAGGCAGCAACACTGTGTTCCTGGGTTTTGAACAAGGGTGGAGATAGTGGTGGAGAAAATGGCAGACCCCCGCAGGAGGATGGAGTTTGAAGTTCCTGCTCGTGTGCTGTATCCCAGGTAATGCAGTATAAACTTTCTCTACTCCTAATAAAGGTTTAACATCTTGCCCCGTATTTTTATGTAATTGTATTTAATTGTTGTAAAGGTCCTGCGCGTCCTCAAGAAAGGAACATTTTCAGAGGAGCGGGCGTTTTTGAAAAATAGAATTAACAGTCGTGTTCTTCATTGTCGTCATCATCCTGCAGCCTTGTCTCCTTCGGGGACATCTGGGTGATGAACTCAGCAGCTGCAAAGCTGGTGTGCCTCAGAGGGGACTGAGGAGACATCAGCTGAGCCCTCGGAGAGCGGGATTAGGGCGATGCGTGCTGCGGCTGGGCTGGAAATCATTCCGATTGATCCTTGGTAGTTTGCCCGTGGCACTGATTCTCATCGTTGCGCTGAACCGCAACGTACGAAGAAGAAGAAGAAGAATGGTTTAGTTATTTCATAGAAATCGGGCAGAGCTCTGCTTGATTCGTGTAAAATAATGCAGAGAGCCTGAAGAATAGTCTCAGTTTCTGAAAACCAGTACATTGCTTAAACTTTTGTGTATATATATGTGTGTGTGTGTGAGGGTGGCAGTCAAACCTGGAAAAGCAGAGAAATCAGTTTGGTTTACTTCAAAAAGTTTAAAAGTCCTCCTGTTTTACAAGTCCACAATGGATCATGCGGTTTGTAAAGGTTTGTATCTCCTCCTCAACACAGCGTGTGTGGTTTCCCAGGCGAGCTGGAAGAGTTTCTTCCAAATATGTGATTAATCTACGAGCCACAGCAGTTTTTATCTGGGGGGAGCACAGACTGCCCCGAGGAAGGTGTTTGTCAGCTCTCCTTGTGCAGTGTTAGATACAGCTCCAGCAGAAGGGTTCTGTGGGCTGTGCCTCTGAAACTAAGCTCAGCTCTGGCCACTGCCTTTGTGTGAAAGTGTTTCCCATATGAAAACCTTTAAGTTTTCTCACAAGGACTTGTTTGAAAATGAAAATAAAAGACAGACTGTGAATGGTTAAAGGGGCATGCCCTAAATGAGCAACATCCGAGCGCTGACATAGAAATGTGGAATAGCAAACATTAATGACAAATAAACACAGGCTAAACCCCCAAACTTGCTGAAGTCTGCCCTCCCCTAAAAATTGTCTCCTCTTATTCTGTCAGTGCCTGGTTCCTTAACCAATAAAGCACAGAATTGCCCAATAGTTTACGTGCTCTCTTCGGCTTAAGCGTATTTTTCTTCAGCAGTATTTTTACAAGAATCATCTTCTTATCCACTAATGCAAACCACGTAACAATGTACTTAAACTGTAAGACTATAACTAGGGCAGCATCGGATAATTTGCAGTGCCCTGTCAGAATCATAGCATGGTTTGGGTTGGAAGAGACCTTAAAGATCATTGAGTTCCAGCCCCCCTGCCGTGGGCAGGGACACCTCCCACCAGACCAGGTTGCTCCAAGCCCCATCCAGCCTGGCCTTGAACCCCTCCAGGGATGGGGCAGCCACAGCTTCTCTGGGCAACCTGTTCCAGTGCCTCACCACCCTCAGAGTGAAATATTTCTTCCTTCTGTCTAGTCTAAATCTACCCTCTTCTAGTTTGAAGCCATTACCCCTTGACCCTTCACTACGTGCCTTGACCCTTCACTACATGCCCTTACCAACAGTCCCTCCCCATCTCTCCTGTAGCCCCTTTAGATACTGAAATCTACAGCAGCAGGTCCCAGATTGTTATCTCTGGTCCATTGGTGGTCACTGAGGCCCCAGTAAACGAGCTGTGAAACCTCACCTGCCTTGCCAGTGCTTCCAGTTAGAGCTTACTGGTGCTTCCAGGTAAGGAGAGCCTGTGCTTCGTGCTCTTCAACACATGGAGTAACCTTACTGGGAAGGCAAAAAGCATCAAGCAGCTGTTTGGCAATGTGTGTTGGAAACTTGATCTTTATATTTATAAACTAGGGTTTAACCTTTTTAAATGTTTGTTATTATTATTATGTCTCAGTTCCAAAGATCAACTGTAAAATGGCATCACAATTCTTGCAATGTTTTTCTTCTTCCCCTTTGGGTTTACCTCTGACTGCTTTAATGAAAACTTGCTTGCGTTTGCTATTCCGAGGTGTCCTTTGTCTCACCAAAACAGCCAAACTCTGAAAGGTGAACTGGATTCTTTTCTGGCTTGTGCTCGTAGTGAAAAAAAAAAATGGTTAATCAGTGGTCAGTTTTCAGAGCAAGCCCCTGTGTATGGACCAGCTTCAGATAATGGTATTGCTTACACCTGTGTCATTGATCATATCACAACTGCTTTCAAGCAACCCGGAGTTATCATTTCAGGTGTGACTGGAAGCAGCATTTGCACCATGAAACACTACAAGTGTAAGGAAGAATGTGGGTTCATCCTCAAATCCTCAACTGAGACCATAGGGACTGACAGTAAATGGAAAAAAGTGGTAATTTTGATTTGGAACTGGGAAGAAGACCTCTCAGAAATCACTAAGGCACAGGCTAAGGAACTCTGTTGTTTTGAGAGCAGGACTGCAATTTAAGTAGGTAAGAAAGAAATTTGGCAAGAGGTAAATCTCCAGCAAGATTATGAAGTAATTTAGTAGAAACAAAGTGCTACCTTTATATTGTAAAGCGGTTCTTAGAAGCCACTGGACAGCAGGCCCTCAAGGGTTTGTTACATGGCACACCAACAAATAGAATACTGATTGTGGAGAAGAACATAACTATGCAGAACCACAGAATGATATGGGGTTGGCAGAGACCTCTGGTGATCATCTAATACAACCCCCCTGCCAGAGCAGGTCCACCTAGAGCAGGCTGGACAGGAACCCTTTAGGTCTCTGAAATCAGCTCCAATCCCCAGTTCTGACTTTCTCCTGTTTTAGACAAAACTTTGGCTGTGAAGAACCACAACGACAAGGTGATGCACCATGATCAAAATGAAACTCTGGTTCTGCGTCCTCTGCTGTGGTGGGTTACATCCATGTCAGTCCCAAGAGTTTGGGACAAAACCATCGCTGCCGCAGGTGATGGTACCTGTGACACATTGCCTAGCTGTGACATATGGCAGCCCTGGGGACGTGTGTTTCCCTTTTGTCACTTGTAGGAGCTCCTGTTGCCTTCTCTGCTGATGACTTCTGGTTCGTACAGCTTCCGTCTGGCTTGAGGAACCAGCAGGGAAACGGGAACAGCGTGGCTGGAGGCTGCCCAGGGAGCTGATGCCGTGGGTTCCCCTGGGGAAGGAAGGGGTGGCTTGTCCCCAGCAGCCCTGCTCCCCTCTGAAAACAGCTCCCCAGGAGCTCATCGGGTCTGGGAAGTGCGGTGAGGACATCCCATAGCGGTTGAGTCTGGTGGGAAGTCACTGGGCTGAGTCATCAATGGATGACAGGACAATAACATTTTATTAAGAATAAACGACTGCTTGCTTTTACATCTCCTTTAATTGTGTTCCCATTGAAAGACACTGGATGTCCCCCTGCTCTGGTCCTCAGCAGTCAGCTTGAGACAGGACAGTAAGTTACGTTAAGTCTGTTTAGATCCCAAAATATGCCCCTCTTCCTGTTCAAAACTTCCATGTTTTTCCCAAGAACGATACAACATCCCTGCCATGAGAGGGGCAAAACAGGAAGGGTTTTGGCAGAAAAGGGTTACAGGAAAATTACCAAAACAGGGACAACTGGAAGGTGGGAGATATGTGTGTATGTGTGAGTTTAAAAAAAAATATTTTGAAAGGTTTGGTATAGCCTTGGGATGAGATTTCAACCAAATAAAATTGGGAACAGTCCTGATCCTAACTCTCTTTTATGAACGTGTATGTTACTGCTGTGCTCTGCAGCATTCACAATCTCCATAGGATCATAGAATGGTTTGGGTTGGAAGGGACCTTTAAAGGCCATCTAGTCCAATCCCCCTGCAATGAGCGGGGACATCTTCAACTAGATCAGGTTGCTCAGAGCCCCATCCAACCTGACCTTGGATGTTTCCAGAGATGGGACGTCTGCTACCTCTCTGGGAAACCTGTTCTACTGTTTCACCACCCTCATCGTAAAAAATTTCTTCCTAATGTCTAGTCTAAATCCTTCCTCTTTTAGTATAAAGCCATTACCCTTTGTCCAATCACAACAGGCCCCACTAAAAAGTTTGTCTCCATCTCTTCTGTAAGCCCCCTTAAGTACTGGAAGGCTGCAATAAGGTCTCCCTGGAGCCTTCTCTTCTCCGGGCTGAACAACCCCAGCTCTCTCAGCCTGTCTTCATAGGAGAGGTGCTCCAGCCCTCTGATCATCCTTGTGGCCCTCCTCTGGACCTGCTCCAACAAGTCCATGTCTTTCTTGTGCTGAGGGTTCCAGAGCTGGACACAGTACTGCAGGTGGGGTCTCCACAAAGTGGAGTAGAGGGGCAGAATCACCTCCCTCAACCTGCTGGCCACGCTTCTCTTGATGCAGCCCAGGATGTGGTTGGCTTTCTGGGCTGTGAGCACACATTGCTGGCTTAAGTCCAGCTTTTCATCCACTAGTACCCCCAAGTCCTTCTCCTTAGGGCTGATCTCAATCCCTTCATCCCCAGACTGTATTGATACTGGGAATTACCCCAATGCAGCTGCGGGACCCTGCTCTTGGCCTTATTGAACCTCATGAACACCTGGTCCAGTTCTCAAGCTTGTCCAAGTGCCTCTGGATGTCCTGTCCCTCAGGTATCGCAACTGCACCAGTCAGCTTGGTGTCATCTGCAATTTTGCCAACGGTGTGCTCAGTCCTGCTGTCTGTGTCATTGTTGAAGATATTAAACAGTACTGGTACCAATACAGACCACTGAGGGACACCACTCATCACTGATCTCCATCTGGACATTGAGTCATTGTCCACTACCCTCTGACATGACCATCCAACCGACTCATCATCCACCGAACAGTCCACCCATCAAATCCATACCTCTCCAATTTAGAAAGCAGGATGTTGTGGGGGACCATGTCAAAAGCCTTACAGAAGTCCAGATGGGCAACCTTTGTAGCTCTTCCCTTGTCTACTGGTGTAGTCACTCCATCATAGAAGGCCACTAGCTTGGTCAGGCAGGATTGGACCATATCTGGACTTGTCCAGATACGATCCTATAATTGTCAGCTTAAGATGTCCATCCTCAGCCCCCTCACCCACACATCCTTCTACCTACTCCTCTCCCTAAACCAATTTTCCCTTTGAACCGTCTCTGCCACCTTAACCTGGCGAAAACGGGTTCTAACAAGCACATTTCTCCCATGAGAAGGCAGAAGTTCTTGGAGATTTCACATCAGGCATTGTCTCTCAGCCTTTATGTACTGTGTGGCACAGAAGTCCATGCAAGAATTGGAGCCCTAATAGTGCTCCAGAAAATAGGCATAAAAAATCCTTTCTGTCTCCAGCACAGTTTCATTTGCTTACTGCAGCTTTTCACCTCCATCGCAACTCACCTGTCCAGAAAACATTCTCTGCAAAGATGGGAAAAGTGAAGACCTTTGCATACAAGCCTAGGATCACAGTGCTGCTCAGAGGAGGAGTGTAAAACACCTGTTGTCTCCATGGGTTACTTCACTGCATGTTTAAAACCAGGGGTGTTTAAGTGGCAGGTTTCTACAAACACACTTTTATATTATGTAGCCGTGCCTCGCCGTAGCCTCCTCAAACGCTATCACTCACCTTCTCAACTCCTTCCTCTGACAATGACTTTGAGATGTTTAATGCATCTGATGATGATCATTCCTGTGGTGAAATGCAGCCATCAGTCACTGCTTTATTTACTCCCAGGGCACTTTGCTAGAGGTATTCAATGGATGCAACACCTTTCTTGTCTCTTAAGAGTAGAAATCATGTGAAATACATAGGAGTTAATATCTTTTTAGCTTTACATCCATTTGCCTTGACTTCCTGGAGGTTTACTTCAGGGATGGAGAAGAATGTTTCCAGGTGAGCCTGATTGGGTTCAGCTAGTTGTGGCAGATGCAGTTCACCTGGGGGTGGGAGGGAGAATGGTGAAGAAAGGATAAAAGGCTTTGGAAGGCACTGCAGAGTCCTTTCTGTCAGGGAAACTTTTCCTTTCTTCTGTCCTGGTAACTGAGTAACCTCCTGCTGTTTTCTCCACCGTATTATGCCCTCACCCATTCCTCTTAACTGCTTCCTTCCTTTGGAGTTTCCCCCGTCTGTGGACTTGAGACCTTGCAGCAGCCCCTTGGTTATCCCTGGCAAAGACAGCAAAAGCTTCTTGGGGGAAGCTCCTGCAGGCCGGACCCGCCGCCTGCCCTCCCGCCTGGCCTGGTGCTCCATCGACTGGGACCAGCTCTGCCTCCTGCAGCCCTTGGGCTCGGGGGGCTTTGGTTCTGTCTACAAAGCCACCTACCGGGGTGCCACGGTGGCTGTGAAGCAGGTGAAGAAGAGCAGCAAGAACCGGCTGGCGTCGAGACAGAGCTTCTGGGCTGAGCTGAACGTAGCCCGGCTGCAGCATGACAATGTGGTACGGGTGGTGGCCGCCAGCACGTGTGCCCCGGCCAGCCAGGACAGCCTGGGCACCATCATTATGGAGTACGTGGGCAACATCACCCTCCACCATGTCATTTACGGCACTGGTGGAGCATGGAGACAGGGCAAGGATGATGAAGGGGGGTGTGGAAGGAAGGCCCTGAGCATGGAAGAGGCTGTGTGCTACGCGTGTGACATCATGGCCGGCTTGGCCTTTCTTCACTCGCTGGGCATTGTGCACTTGGACTTGAAGCCTGCAAACGTCTTCATCACCGAGCAGGGAGCGTGCAAGATCGGAGACTTTGGGTGCTCCCAGAAACTGGAGGAGGGCTTGTCCCAGAGCCCCCACGTTTGCCAGCAAGGGGGGACCTACACGCACCGTGCCCCTGAGCTCCTCAAGGGGGAGAGGGTGACGGCCAAAGCGGACATCTACTCCTTTGCCATCACCCTCTGGCAGCTGGTCATGCGGGAGCAGCCCTACCTGGGGGAGAGGCAGTATGTGCTCTACGCGGTGGTCGCCTATAACTTACGCCCTTCCCTGGCTGCCGCCGTGTTCCAGGAGTCCCTGGTGGGCCAGAGGCTCCAGGCCATCATTAGCTGCTGCTGGAACGCCAAGGTAGAGGAGCGCCTGAGCGCAGCCCAGCTCCTTCCCAGCCTCAGGGCCCTCAAGGGCAACCTCTAGGGAAACCCAGGACTCCTAACCTTTCTTTTATTGTCTGCTTTTCTTTCCTTCCACCTTTCCTCCAAACGTTTAGCTCCTGCGTGATCTAAAGACTTTGTTGATTTTGTTTGGGTTTTTTTTTATATATATACTTAAAAAAGAAAAAAGAAACTGCTTTGTTCTAAGAAGATTACCAATAAAGAGATTTAACAAAACTGTGGGGTTTTTACTGTGGGAGGGGATAGAAGCAAGGATCAAGAGGTGGGCAAACAGGACTACTTCTGATTGATCTGTTGTGTGCTGCCTCGCTCAGGGAGGAACTGGGGAGTGTGATGTGCAGAAAAATAGATGTCCTCAAACAAGTGAAGTACAAAAAAGGGTTGCTTTTAGAAGGTTCTTTGGACATAATACCTTTTGGTATTTCCCAAACGTCAGATCTGAGTAGTTCTTTACCCTAGCTACGTTTGGGCATTTGAGCTTTTCCTCTTCATTTACCAAGGAATGAGTATGCATCACAAACCAATGAATGCAGGAAAATAAGCAGAGTGTCACTCGGGGTTGGTTTTCTTTTTTGTTCTTGAATGTACTAAATTTCAGTAAGTATGCTCTTTCTGAAATGGAAAATGTGAACTACCCAGTCTTCCCATTGAAATAAGGAACTTTTTTTTGTTGGTCTAAGGCTGTTAAGAGTAAGAAGATGCATTAACAACCTGTGCTTTTGTAAGACCTCCATCTTTCCAGGTGGTAGTTGCAACTTGCTAGTTGGTATATTGTAGATTTTAGTATCTGAAGTGTTGTAAGAGCGTCTTGTCTGGAATGGAAAGTTCCCAGGTTTTGGAGGTACAGGAGGAGTTTAAAAAAAAAAAAAATATAACTGGGAAAACATGAAGGGAAATGTGTAGATACAAAGATCTCATAAATCAGGGTAAGGGGGGGATTATATTGCCTTCGTAATGTGTGGGTGGGTATTAGACAAGATACTGGAAGTACTGAAAAGGAAGATTGCTTAAAGCAGTAATGTTGATATTCTGCAGGTGCTCAAAGCACACACCATTGAACTATCCTCTGCGCTGCTTGTGTCTTATCTGCCATCTCTCCTAATCCCGTTGTAACATGTCTGGGAAAGGAAGTGCTGTAGGCAACGCTGCAGAAAGAGCTCTGATCCCTGATTTATCAGAACTGATAACTATCGATCTGTCGAGATCCCAGGCCTTATCTGGAGCTACGAAGAACTGACTGCTGTAGCTGATGTTGTCGTCCTACTCGTAGATTTCCTTCTTTTTAAGACGGGAGAAAGAGGGATGTTTCAGTCAAATTGTTTTTCTTCTTTCCCCTTCCTCCCCCTTGCTTCCATTCTGGAAAAAAATCCCAAAGGAATTGAGCCGGTTTCCTGATTTCTGACACACATCTGTTCTTAGCCCCGTGAAATCCTGGAAATGAGCAACTATGTGAATTTGAGAGGATTCTGTAGGTCTTTATGGTATTTGGGCTGGTCATTGAAATTAATGGTTTATAAAGCATATCTAAGCTTAACTATTTCTTGCTCTTCTGTCTCCCTTAAGTGGAACTGTAAAATGCTGCCTGGAATCAAAAACCCTAAGGTAAATTTTGAACCGATTTCCTGTGGTTTTGTCTGTCAAAATAATTATGCTATAGAACCAGAACTTCTGGGGTTTTTTTTTGGTGTTGCATAACTTCTTTAAGTAAACAAGAAATAGCTTATAAATAATAAGCTTATTATGATTAGACAGTTACCTTTTAAAAGGATTAGCTGAAGGCATGTAAGATAAAATGCTGGATAAGTCATTGACATGCCTCACCTTAAGCCTTACGTAAAAACGTTTCTCCAGTCTTCAAAGGAATAAAAAATGGAACTGAAGATTTTCAGTAGTTCTTAGATATCTATGTGTTATATTTTTTTTGCCGATCTAGGTAGCTTGTTGCTTAAACTGCTAGAAAGTTAATGACACTTTAGCACCAATAAGTGCTACTCGAGTCTCTGTGAAAAATCAAGCACCCTTCAAATTCTCCATTATATTTGACAGAAGAATACTGGATGGCCAAGACCTACTCTTGAAGTGTAATCAGCTCTGCAGATGTCTCTGGTGATTTTACTGGATTCTCTTTTGAGAGCTAGGGTGAACTTAGTACAGCAATCAAGATGTGGGCACGTTACTATCTGCTGTCATAATTATATTCTCTATTTTTTTTAGTATCTTCTAAGTTTGTTTTCCTTCTTTTTGATTGCTAATGAGCTTTGAGTTAATACTAATCAAGAAACATCTCAGGCCCGGTAGCTCAGAATCCTCAGATAAGGATTATTTTGCCTATTTCCCTCATTCTATATCAACCTACCTTGTTTCTCCTTAATCCTCAGATAAGGATTATTTTGCCTATTTGCCTCATTCTATATCAACCTATCTTGTTTCTCCTTATCAAAGAACGGTTTGGGTTTGAAGGGACCTTGAAGATCATTGAGTTCCAACCCCCCTGCCATGAGCAGGGACACCTCCCACCAGACAAGGTTACTCAAAACCCCATCCAGCCTGGCCTTGAACACCTCCAGGGATGGGGCATCCACAGCTTCTCTGGGCAACCTGTTCCAGTGTCTCACCACCCTCAGAGTGAAATATTTCTTTCTGATATCTAATCTAAATCTCCCTTCTTTCAGTATAAAACCACTACCCACCATTGCTCCACTCCCTGATAAAGAGTCCCTCCCCATCCCTCCTGTAGCTCCCTTCAGATATTGAAAGGCTGCTATAAGGTCTCCCCGGAGCCTTCTCTTCTCCAGGCTGAACAGCCCCAGCTCTCTCAGCCTGTCTTCATAGCATAGGTGCTCCAGCCCTCTCATCATTTTTGTGGTCATCCTCTGGACCCGTTCCAACAGTCATGTCCTTTTACCCCAGCTCTCTCAGCCTGTCTTCATGGCATAGGTGGTCCAGCCCTCTCATCATTTTTGTGGTTATCCTCTGGACCCGTTCCAACAGTCCATGTCCTTTCTCCTTCTGCCAGTTTCTAGCTGGCCCTGGCACTCACTGCCCTGAGTCCCCTCCGGCATCAGCAAATTTGTTTATCTTATTGCTTCTCCTCTTGTACTTCGTTTATGGATTTGCTGAGTAGCACAGGACCCTGTGAAACACCACTGGCCACTTTCTCTAGTTGAGAGAACTGGCACTTTAATTTTACCATCTTTTGACTTATCCAGCACAGGATTTTCTCTCCAAAACATCTCTGCTTAGTACCTTTAAAAAGTTTGCAATGAACATCTCCATTAATGGTCTAGATGATGGGACAGAGTGCACCTTTGGCAAGTTTGCAAGATGCCACAGAACCAGATGGAGTGGTCAATACCTCAGATGGTTGTGCTGGTATGTCCAGCACCTGGTGGAGGATAATCCCATGCACCAAATGGGTATGGACTGGGGGCCAACCGGCTGGAAAAGCATCTTCATGGGAAAGGACCTGAGGCTCCTGGCAAAGACCATGTTGAACATGAGCCAAGGATGCGCCCTTGTGGCAAAGGTGGCCAACAGTGTCTGGGGGTGCACTACCAAAGATGTTGCCAGCTCTCCCAGAACGTTGCCAGAAGAGATCATTCACCTCTGCTCACTCAGCCCTGGTGAGACACATCTGGAGCGCTGTGGCCAGCTCTGCCAGAACAAAAAGCATCATGGAGGTACTGGACCAGGAGTGCAGCAAAGGACCATTAAGCTGATTAGGGGACTGGAACCTTTGCATGTGAGGAGAGGCTGAGAGATGGGACTTTTCAGCCTAGAAAGAGAAGGCTCAGGAAGACCTTGCCAGTTTGTATAAACACTGATGGGAGGCAGCAAAGATGGTGCCAGCCTCTTCTCTGTGGTGCCTAGTGATAGGGCAAGATGTGATGGACAGAAACTGAAGGGCAGGAAACTCCATTTAAATACTAGAGAAAACATTTTTATTGTGAGGGTGGTCAAGCACTGAAACAGGTTGTCCAGAGAGGTTGGGGAGTCTTCACCCTTGGAGAAGTTCAGAACCCAACCAAACACAGTACTGAGCAAGCTGTTCTAGTTGACCCTAGAACAGTTGACCCACCTAGTTGACCCACCCTGCTCTGACCAGTGGGGTGGACTAGACAATCTCCAGAGGTGCCTTCCAACCACAAAAGTTCTGCAATTGTAATAACACTTATAGATCCTTGAATTTCAGACAGCTCCTGAGTTCTCCTACAAAAAATGTTTCTACCATAAGGCAATAGGCTTGTATTTCCTCCAGGGACAACACACATGCAAGGAACACACCTTGATTCTTTGCAGTGGCTTTGTTGTCTTGGTGGGGATCAAGTTGCAATGATTAGGGTTTTTTGTTTTGTTTTGTTTTTTTTTTCTTTTAGAAACCTGACTTCAGTAGATCTACCAGAAAGGCTTGATGAAATTCTTGTTTCTTGATATTCTGAAAATTAGAAATTATGGGATTATGTTAGTTCCTTGAAGTTTTTTTTCCATCTATTTTTATATTTAATCCACCAGACTTTTAGCCTTTCCATTTTCTTCATTTGGACATGACTTCAGGTTTTTAAAAGATGCCTTCTTGCTTCTAGAGCTGGCATAAAGTCTAATGAGTGCAGCTGCACATTGCTCTTCAACTTTGTCTCACTTGCACACCTCCATATCAAATTTTAGCAGAAGGCACATGATGCTAGCAGAGCAGTTGCAGACAGTTGTGTTACAACTTTTACGGGCTTCTGTTCATGCGAGTTTTTCCCCAAATCTCTCTAGAAGTTGGTTTTGTTCTTTCTCTCTTCTTCCCCATACAGATATATGCAGCACAGATCCAGATGTTTAGCAAGACATGGATAAATGGACAAGACATGGACTCATACCTGGTTTATTTATTGTCTTCATTCCTGGAGCTGATGATCAGCCTAAAGTGAAGGTTTATTGAAGACCTGGAGAAAGTGCTACAACCAGGTAACTGTAATTTATCAACATCTTGCTGTACTTTCTGATCATGAAATACTTGTGAAGCCAGTGCCAAGC